GAGTCTTTGCCTCTGCGGACATGGCCCGTTCCTCGGGAATGAGTGCCCACGCCCGGCGACAAGCGGCCTTGGGCCCGCCCTCTGCCCGCGCTGGAAACGCCTGCTTCGGCGCGGGGCGTGGGGGAGGGTGGTCCTGTTGCTGCTGGAGGCCGGAACCGCTTTCCTCCCTGCAGTCCCTCTGACCCTTGCTCCCTCCATTGCGATCTCCGTCGCTCCGTCTTCCCCTCCGTTCCCCCTCCCTCCCTCCTCTCCATCCTCCCGTCCCTCCCTCCCTCCCTCCCTTCCAACGTCCGTCCTCCCAGCGTCCCAGTCTGGCTCTCATCCTCTCCCATGTCTGCCTGCCTTCCCCCGCCTGGGAGGCGGTCAGCATCCCGGGTTCGTGTAGGATCTGGGGTGTGCATGTAGCCGCCAGGGTGCTCCATGGTGACAGGGAGGCTGCAGGGAGCACAGGTGGGCAGTGGCGGTGGAGCGGAGAGCACAGAGAGGCGAGCCGCCGGAGGAGAGCAGAGGCCAGGCTGCCGGGCAGGTGTTCCAGGTCATGGGAGTCTCAGCCAGCCGCCCAGTGCAGAACAGGTGGTGGTGCTGGCGGTCGTGGTGGGGGTGGGGGTGGTGGTGTGTTTGGGTGTGTGGGTGTGTGGTTGTGTGGGTGTGTAGGGGGGTGTGTGGGAAATTGTGCGTCATCCCGCCCGCGCGGGTGTGCGCGCGCTGTGCTGGAGAGTGGGGTGGGGATCAAGCGGAGCCGGAGTGGTGGAAAAGCATAGGCGCTCTGCAGAGGCCGCTCCCAGAGCCCTGGGCGCTGCCCGCACACCCGCGCATGCGCAGTGAACCGTCCCCCCTCCTGGAACCTGGGCGGCTCTGGAGTCCCGGGATCTCAGCTCTCCTCGGTGGAGTCTCAGCCACCGCGCCGCGCACGCCCCGCCGCGCCGCGCAGTCCCGGAGCAGGAATGCCAGGCTGGTCAGCCCGGAGGGAAGGCAGGCCTCTCCACACCGTGCCCAGTGCCCATGAGGGAGGCCACGCCCCACCCCCGATCACGTCCCAACCCCGGTCTAGCTCCTCAGCAGAGCCCGGTATTCCTCCTCGCTGAGGGTAAGCGGTTCCAGCAAAGCGGGCTCTCCCACGTCCTGCAGCTCCGTGGGGCCCCGTTTCTAGCAAGATTGCGCCTGCTGCAGAGGCTCGGGGAGTCTCAGGAGACTCAGCCAGCAGGCTGGAGGGGAGTGCAGACCGAAAGCGCCCAGGCTCCTGGAGCGGCGGGGCGCCCGATAACTTGCATCTGCTCCCGCCCGGAGGCCTCCTCCGGGCGCGGGACCCGGAGCGGGCTGCCGACTTGGGGCTCCCCACCGCCGCCCAGCGACTGGGAGCCCTGCCCCAGCCCCCACGAGACTCCCACAGGACGTGGCGCGCGGCTCACACCTGGCCCTGCGGCTCAGCTCCGGGCGGCCCAGGCTGTCCACGAGCGCGGAGCCCGGCAGGCTGGTGCTGCGGGTCCTCCTCCCCCCGCCATTGGCTCGGGCTCGGGCCACCCCGGGGAGTCTGAGGGTGGGGAGCGCCCGTTCGAGGAGTCGCCAGGGCAAGCGGCGGAAAATTCCTGTCCCACGCCGGGGCTGGATGAGACTGCACCTGCGCGGCCTGGCTGGGCTGCAGCGGGCGGCGGCCCCCTGCTCCTGGCTCACGCCCCGGTGGCGTCAGGGCGCGCAGAGGAGCCGTGGGCGCGGAAACCCCGTCCCCACCGCGGGGTGAGCGAAAACCTGGCCGAGGAAGCGGGGGACCCCGCCAGGCGCGTCTCGCACAGGCCGCCTGCGTGCGCCGCTGCCCGGCACCTGGCCTGGGTGCCTGGCCTCGGTTCTGAAACCGTCTGAATCAGGACTCCGGGAGCCCCGTCTCTGGCCAGCTCTTCCCGTTGTGATGCCGAGCAGATCACTGAAGGCTGCGGAGCAGGGCGGTCTGGGACCGGGTGACGGCGGTCGCTTTCGCCTGCCCCCTTCTCAGGAGCCCACGTTTCCCCGGCCAGGAGCCAAGAGATTCCCGCGGTGCTGCACTCAGCTGGCGTGATCTCGTTCTGAGCAAATCTGGACCTAGGCTCCGGGAATGCGATGGCCGGGCCAGCTCTTCGGGTGGCGTGCCAGTGCGGGTTCAGCTCGAAGCAGGCTCGCAGGGCCTCCTCTGGCTCGGGTCCAAAGCGAGTCTCCTTCGCCGTCCTCGTCCTCGGGCCTCCGCCGGCGCCGTCGCCAGGTGTCGGGAGAGCCATCGGCGGGAGACCCCGCCGGAATTCACCCGACAGACACGGGCAGAGAGGCCGGCGGGCTCCCGTGCCCTCAGTGAAGCTGTGCAGGCGGCAGGTCAGCAGGAGGCCGGCAACCCGGCCAGCGGCCCTTATAAAGGCCCGGCTCCACCCCTTGGGAATGCTGAGGAGCCCAGCGCCTGCCCGCCCTCGGAAGCCGGGACCCACGAGGCCCAGGGTCACTGTGGCCTGGGTGTGGGTGGGGCCGGGGAAGCCCCGGGGGTGGGGAGTGGGGTGGGGGGAAGGGGGGAGGGGGCCGGGGGCAGGGAGCCGAGCTTCGGGGGCTGGCTCTCTGGGCCTCTCAGGGATTTCTGCGGGGACTGGAAGCCGCTCTCGGGGGCTCCGAGGGCGTTTTCAGCAGGCAGAAGCCAGCCCGGAAGGGTGGAGTGGAGTATGGAACTGGCCCCCGTGAAGTCTTGAGGTTTCCGGGCCCTCTCCGCGAAGGGAGGCCGAGCCCGTGGTTGCGCCCGTTGCTTGCCATAGGCTCACACACGCAGGTGTGTGGGTCTCGTTCACTTTCGCGCGCAAGGGCAGCCGGAGAAAGACTGCATCCCGGCGTCACGCGGCCCCTGGCGGTGGAGGCCTGCATCATGCAGCATGAGGAGTCTCACTGTGGCCGCTCGAGAGACAGGCGAGTGGGCGAAGAAGACACGGTGCTGGCGCTCACGCCTCCCTGGAAAGGTTCAGGTCTCTCCGCAGAGCTCGGGAGTCAAACCCCGTGCTGCAGGTCTCAGGCTTCGGGGGCTTCAGAACGTGAGCAGCCGGCCCCCTGGCAGGCGGCAGCATGAAAGCAATGGAATCCCGGTCGATGCCTCAGTCGTCCTGAGTGTAGCTCCTGTGCGGGCCAGGAGGCTGCCGCCTCGCGCTGCATTGCAGGGCTCAGCCTGGGGAGGAGGTCTTTACAAAGCGTGCGGGTGAAAGCAGGACGCCACCAGGCTCCTGAGTCTTGCCTCTGCGAGACATGGCCGTTCCTCGGGGACGGAGTGCCGCCGGCCGCGCGGCGGCCTTGGGCCCAACCCTCTGCCGCGCTGGGCGCCTCCGCCTGCTTCCGCGGGGGCGCGTGGGGAGGGGTAGTCCTATTGCTGCTGGAGGCCGGAGACGCTTTCGCACTCCCTGCAGGAGTCCTCTGACCCTTGCTCCCTCCATCCCCGTCCCTCCGTCGCTCCCGTCTTCCCCTCCGTTCCCCACTCCCTCCCCCTCTCTCCGTCCCTCCGTCCCTCCCTCCCTCCCCTCCCTTCCAACGTCCGTCTCCGCGCGCGTCCCCGAGGTCTGGCTCTCATCTCTCCATGTCTGCCTGCCTTCCCCGCCTGGAGTAGGTCAGCATCGAGGTTCGTGTGGGATCTGGGGTGTGCATGTAGCCGCCAGGTGCTCCATGAGTGACAGCGGGAGGCTGCAGGGGCACGGGTGGGCGAGTGGCGGTGGAGCGGAGGCACAGGCCGAGCCGCCGGAGGAGAGGCAGGCCCGGGCTGCCGGGCCGGGTGTTCGGGTCATGGAGTCTCCAGCCGGCCGCGAGTGCAGAACAGAGGTGGTGGTGCTGGCGGTCGTGGTGGGGGTGGGAGTGGGAGTGGTGTGTTTGGGTGTGTGGGTGTGTGGTTGTGTGGGTGTGGCTCGGGGGTGTGTGGGGGTGTGCGTGTCGCGCGCTGTCTTGTATGGCTGTGCTGGAGAGTAGGGTGGGGATCAAGCGAGCTCGGAGTGGTGAAAAAGCATGAAGCGCCCAGAGGCCGCTCCCAGAGCCCCTAGGCCGCTGCCACTGCCTGCTGCATGCGCAGTAGACCGTCCCCCTGCGGAACCTGGGCCAGCTCTGAGAGTCCCAGGATGCTCAGCTCTCCTCGATCTGTGGGAGTCTCTGGCCACCGCCGCCGCCGCCGCCGCCGCCGCCGCGCCAGTCCGGAAGGCAGGAATGCCAGGCTGGTCAGCCGGAGGAAGAGCAAGCCTCTCCACACGTGCCCGGTGCCCACCCACATCAAGGGAGGCCACCCGCCCCGCCCCGATCCGTCCCAACCCCGGGTCTAAAGCTCCTCCAGCAGAGCCAGTGCCACTCCTGCAGCTGAGGAGTAGCGGTTCCAGCAAAGCGGGCTCTCCACGTCCTGCAGCTCGTCCGGGAGCCCCGTTTCTAGCAAGGTTGCGCCTGCTGCAGAAACTCGGGGGTCTCCAGGAGCTCAGCCAGCAGGCTGGGAGGAGTGCAGACCAGCGCCCAGGCTCCTGGAGCGGCGGGGAGGCGCCCGATGGCTTACATCTGCTCCTTGCGACCTCCTCCGGCGCGAGACCAGGCGAGCTGCCCGACTTGAGGCTCCCACGCCGCCCGAGCGACCTGGGAGCCACTGGCCCCAGCCCCCACGAGACTCCTGGGACGTGGCGGCCTTGACTCCCACCTGGCCCTGCGGCTCAGCTCCGGTGGGCCCAGGCTGTCCCACCGAGCAAGGGCCCGGCAGGCTGTGGTGCTGCGGGTCTCCTCCCCGCCGTGGCTCGAGGCTCCCGGAGGCCACCGGGAGTCTGAGGGTGGGAGCGCCCGTTCCGGAGTCGCCAGGGCAGCGGCGGAAAATTCCCTATCGCCTGCCGGGGCTGGATGGGGACCCCTGCTGCCTGCTTCGGCCTGGCTGGGCTGCAGCGGGCGGCGGCCCCTGCTCCTGGCTCACGAAAGCCCCGGTGGGAGGCGTCCAGGGCGCAGGGCACGTGGGGCGCAGGAAGCCCCGTCCCCCACGCCCGGGAGTGGGGCGCCGCGCCCAGACCCGGAAGGCAGGAATGCCAGGCTGGTCAGCCCGGAGGGAAAACAGGCCTCTCCACACCGAGCCCGGTGCCCACCGCCAAAGGGAGGCCACCGCCCCGCCCCCGATCCCGTACCAACCCCGGGTCCTAAAGCTCCTCCAGCAGAGCCCGGTATTCCTCCTCGCTGAGGAGTAGCGGTTCCAGCAAAGCGGGCTCTCCCACGTCCTGCAGCTCCGTCGGGGCCCCCGTTTCTAGCAAAGGTTGCGCCTGCTGCAGAAACTCGGGGGTCTCCAGGAGCTCAGCCAGCAGGCTGGAGGGGAGTGCAGACCAGCGCCCAGGCTCCTGGAGCGGCGGGGAGGGCGCCCGGATGGCTTGCATCTGCTCCCGCCCCGCGGAGGCCTCCTCCGGGGGCGCGGGACCCGGAGGCGGAGCTGCCCCGACTTGGGGCTCCCACGCCGCCCCGGCGACCTGGGGCCACTGGCCCCAGCCCCACCACGGACTCCCCTGGGAGGTGGGCGGTGCGACCACACCCTGGCCCTGCGGCTCAGCTCCGGCGGGCCCAGGCTGTCCCACCGAGCAAGGGCCCGGCAGGCTGTGGTGCTGCGGGTCCTCCTCCCCCCGCCATTGGCTCGGGCTCGGAGGCCACCCCCGGGGAGTCTGAGGGTGGGAGAGCGCCCCTTCCGGAGTCGCCAGGGCAGCGTAGGAAAATTCCCAATCCCCGCCTGCCGGGGCTGGATGGGGGACCCCTGCTGCCTGCGCGGCCTGGCCAAAGCCCCTGTGGATGCCCAGGGCGCAGAGCAGCAGCTGGCGTGGGCCTGGCCCCACGCCCCGGGTGGGCGAAGGCCACTGCGAGGAGCGGGGGACGCTGGGGCCGCTGGCTTCAGACAGGTCCCATAAAGCCACGCTCCTGAGGAACCTGGCCTGGGTGCCTGGCCCTCCGGTTCTGAAACTGGGACCCAACCGGGACTCCGGAGGCCTGTCTCTCTGGCCAGCTCTTCCCGGGTGGCGATGCCCGGAAAGCGATCCTGCTGGAAGGCTCGCAGGAGCAGGGCGGTCTGGGACCGGGTGACGGCGGTCCGCGCCTGCCTTCCCCTGCTGCACATTGCCGCCAGGGCCGAGATTCCTGGCCGGTGCTGCCTCAGCTGGCGTGATCTTCCTGTTCTGAAACCAAATCTGGACCCTGGGCTCCGGAATGCCGATGGCCCGGGCCAGCCTTTCCCGGGTGGCGTGATGCCTGCACGGGTTCCGCTTCTGCGCGCAGCCTCGTGAGCCTCCTGCCTGGGTCCAAACGATTCCTCTGTCCTCAGCTCCTCGGCCTCGCTGGAGGGCTGCCGCCAGGTGTCGGGAGAGCCATCGCTGGGAGACCCGCCGGAATCCGCCGATATACTGCAGAGAGGAGGCCGGCGGGCTCCTGCCCCTCAGTCGGGCCTGTGGCGAGAGCAGGTCCAGCCAGGAGGCTGGCCTAGCCGGCCAGCGGCTCCTTATAAAGGCCCACAGGCTCCACCCCTTCAGGAATGCCTGAGGATGCCCAGCCGCCTGCCCTACTCGGGAAGTTGCATGACCCACAGGGCCCAGGCTCACTGTGGCCTGGCAGGCTGGAGAAGCCCGAAAGTTGGGAGGTGGGGGGAGGGGGAGGGGGGGCCGGGGCGGGGAGAGCGGGCTGGGGCTGGCTCTGGCCTCCAGAGGCTCTGCGGGACTGGAAGCCGCCCGGGCCCGAAAGCGAGCAGGCAGAAGCCAGCCCGGAAGGGTGGAGTGGAGTATGGAACTGGCCCCCGTAGAGAGTCTTGAGGCTCGGGCCCTCTCCGCCGAAGGAGGCCGAGCCCGTGGTTGTCGCCAAGGTTATCATAGGCTCTGGCTACACTATGAGGTGGGTCTCTGCTTACTTCTGCTATGTGGTGCCTGGCAGCGCGAAAGCCCGGAGAAAGACTGCATCCCCGGCCAGCCGCCTGACGGTGGAGGCCTGCATCATGCAACGTAGGGGAGCTCCACTGTGGCCCGCTCCGGAGACAGGGGCGCGAGTGGAGCGAAGAAGACACTTGGGTGCTGGCGCTCCACGCCTCCTCCAGGTTGTTCCGGCTCCCGCAGAGCTTCGGAGCCAACCGCCAACACGGTCAGGCTTCCGGGGCTTGGTAGAGACGTGAGCAACCGCCCCTGGCAGACGGCAACGCAAAGCAACGTAATCCTGAGTCAGGCCTCAGTCGTCCTGAGGTGTGACCTCAGTAAGTGACGGCTGCCCGCCTCGCGCTGCATTGTGGCTCAGCCTGGGGAGGGGGAGTAAGGTTCTTAAAGCTGGGCAAGGAAAACCGGACGGCTACCCGAGCCTGGGTCTTTTTGCCTCAAGTGACATGGCCTGCTCGGGAACAGGCGCCGGCGACGCGGCGTGCCTTGGGCCCAGCCTCGGCCCGCCTGGGCGCCGCCCCTGCTTCCCGGCGCGGCGGTGGTGGGGTGGTCCTGTTGCTGAGGCCGAGACTGCTTTTCCTCCTGCCGGAGTCCTCTTGACCCTTGCTCCCTCTCCTGTCCCCACCGGCCCCTCTCCGTCGCTCTTCCACAGTTTTCCTCGTTTCCTCCTCTCTCACTCCCCTCCCTTTCCTTCTCTCTCGTCTCCTCTCTTCTCTCCTCCGTCCCTCCTCTCTCTCCCTCCCTCCCTCTCCCACCCGCTCCGTCCTCCGCGCTGCTGCGCCCCTCGGTCTGGCTCTCTATCTCTCCATGTCTGCCTGCCTTCCTGCCTGGAGCTGCCAGCACCTGGGTTCGTGTGGGATCATGGGGTGTATGTGTAGCCGCCAGGTGCTCCATGGTGACAGCGGAGGCTGCAGGGGCACGGGTGGGCGAGGACGGTGGAGCGGAGGTCAGAGAAGAGCTGCCGGAGGAGAGCAGGCCCGGACGCTGCCCCGGGCCGGGTGTTTCGGTCATGGAGGTCTTCCAGCCAGCCGCCAGTGCAGAACAGGTGGTGGTGCTGGCGGTCGGGTGGGGGGTGGGGGGTGGTGTTTGGGTGGTGTGTGTGGTTGTGTGGGTGTGTCGGGGGCAGTGTGTGGGGTGTGGCGGTCCGGCTGGTGCGGCACAAGGCTGTGCTGGAGAGGTGGGGACTGCGGCTCGGTGGTGTGGCATGAGCGCCTGCAGGGGCCGCTCTCCCAGAGCCTAGGCCGCTGCCCGCACACCCGCGGCAAGGGCGCAGACCGGCCCTCCTGGAACCTGGGCTGCCCTGAGTCCCTGATGCTCAGCTCTCCCCTCGGTGTGTGTGGTCTCGGCCACCGCCGCGCCGCGCCGGCCGCCGCCGCGCCAGCCCTGAAGGCAGGAATGCCAGGCTGGTCAGCCCGGGAGGGAAAACAGGCCTCCTCCACACCGTGCCTGTGGCCCACCGGCCGGGTGGAGGCCACCACCCTTCGCCTCCCCCGATCCTGGCCCCAACCCCGGGTCCTAAAGCTCCTCCAAAGCTCGCATTCTCCTCGTCAGAGGAGTAGCGGTTCCAGCAAAGCGGGCTCTCCCACGTCCTGCAGCCTGTCGGGCCCCGTTTCTAGCGTTGCGCCCTTCGCTGCAGAAACTCGGGGTCTCTAGGAGCTCAGCCAGCAGGCTGGAGGAGTGACGAAGCGCCAGAGCTCCTGAGCGGCGGGGAGGGCGCCCGATGGCTTGCATCTGCCTCTGCCCCGCCGGAGGCCTCCCTCCGGGGCGCGGGACCCGGAGGCGGAGCTGCCCCGACTTGGGGCTCCCACGCCGCCCGGCGACTGGCACCAGCTGGCTCAGCTCCCCACGGACTCCCTGACGTGTGGCGATCCACCCTGGCCCTGCGGCTCAGCCCTGTGGGGTAGCCCAGGCTGCGCACCGAGCAAGCGGCCCGCAGGTTGTGGTGTTAAGGGTCCTCCTCCCCCCGCCCATTGGCCTGGGCTCGGGAGGCGACCCTGGGAGTCTTGAGGGTGGGAGAGCGCCTGCTCCGGAGTCGCCAGGGCAGCGAAGGAAAATTCCCTATCCCCGCCTGCCGGGCTGGATGGTGGGGACCCCTGCTGCCTGGGCGCGCCTGCCGGGGCCGCAGTGGGCCACGGCCCTCAGCCTCCTGGGCTCACGAGCCCCCGTGGAGCGCCCAGGGCGCAAGAGAGAGGTGGGCACGGGGGCGCGGAAGCTCCCGCCTCCCCACGCCCCGGGTGGGCGAAGGCCACCGCGAGGGAGCGGGGATCGCCACAAAAGGCCTCGCGCTGACAGGCCGCCTGGGCGCAGCTCGCTGCCCCTGCAGACCCTGGCCTGGGTGCCTGGCCTCTCCGGCCTCTGAAACCAAATCTGAACTGACTCCGGGAGGCTCCGCCTCTCCGGCCAGCTCTTCCCGGGTGGCGATGGGCACCTGGGAAAGCGATCCTGCTGGAAGGCTCGCAGGAGCAGGGGCGGTTCGGGACCGGTGACGGCGTGTCCGCTGGCCTGCCTTCCCAAGTGGCCACGCTTCGGCCAGCTTTCTGATTCCCGCCGGTGCTGCCTCTCAGCTGGCGTGAATCTCCCTCGTCGAAACCAAATCTGGACCCTGGGCTCCGGAATGCCGATGGCCCTGTGGCCAGCTCTTCCTGGGTGCGGTGGCGATGTTCTAGTAATAGGTCTGCGCCAAGCAGGCCCCGCAGGGCCTCCCTCTGGCTCGCCAGGTCTGCACCCAGGCCTTCTGCCTGCCCCCTGCCCCTCGGGCCTCCGCCGCTGAGTGGCGCCGTCGCCAGGTGTCGAGAGCTATGTGTGAGGCATCCTGCCGGAATTTACTTCATGACACGGGCAGAGAGAGGCCGGCGGGCTCCCCCCGTGCCCCCAGCCACGGCCTGTGCAGGGCAGAGGTTCAGCCAGGAGTGTCCGCCCAGCCGGGTTGCAGCGGCTCCTTTATAAAGGCCCACAGGCTCCACCCCTTCAGGAATGCCTGAGGTGGAGCCTAGCGCCTGCCCGCCTCGGCCGGGATCTACAGGGCCCACAGGCCATCAGGCAGTGGCCTGGGTGGGGTGGGGGCCGGAGAAGCCCGGGAAGTGGGGAGGGGGTGGGGGAGGGGGAGGGGCTGGGGTGGGAGCGGCTTCGGGGGCTGGCTCTCTGGGCTTCCTCCCAGGGTTTCTGCGGGACTGGAAGCCGCCTCGGCTCCGAGGGCGTTTTCAGCAGGCAGAAGCCAGCCCGGAAGGGTGGAGTGGAGTATGGAACTGGCCTCTGTGAGAGTCTTGAGGTCTGGCCCTCTCCGCGAAGGAGGCCGAGCCCGTGGTTGTCGCCAAGGTTATCATAGGCTCACACACGCAGGCTGTCCCATACAAGCCGCAAGGGCCGAGCGAAAGCTCCGGAGAAGACTGCATCCCCGCGTCACGGCCTGACGGTGGAGGCCTTCCGGGTATGCAACGTGAGGGGAGTCCCACTGTGGCTCCGCCCGAGACAGCAGTGGAGCCAAGAAGACGCTCTGTGCTGGCGCCCACGCTCCTCCTGAAGGGTTCCTGGCTTCCGTGAGCTCTGGGAGTCAAACCGTCAACACGGTCAGGCTCGGGCTTCAGAGAGTGGAGCAGAACCGCCCTGGCAGACGGCAACGCAAAGCAACGTGGAACCCGATTGCGGCCTCAGTCGTCCTGAGTGTGACCCTGTGCGGACGGGGCTGCTCCGCCTCTCGCTGGCATTGCAGGGCTCAGCCTGGGGGAGGGGGAGGCTAAAGCCGGGCAAGGGAGAAACGGACGGCCACCCGAGCTCTGGGCCTGCCTCTGATGGCCCGTCTCTCGGGAATGAGTGCTCCCGCCGGCCGACGCGGCGTGCCTTTGGGCTCCGCCTCCTCTGCCCCGCGCTGGGCGCGCCTGCTTCCCGGCGCTGGGGCGGGGGAGGGGTGGTCCTGTTGCTGCTGGAGGCCGGAGACCGTTTCCTCCCCTGCCGGAGTCCTCTGACTCCTTGCTCCCTCCCCCGTCCCCACCGTCTCTCCGCGCCTCCGTCTCTTTCTCTCTCCGTTCCCACTCTCCCTTCCCTCTCTCTGGCTCCTCTGCCTTCCTCCCTCCCTCCTTCCACCGGCTCCGTTTCTCCATGGTCCCCCTTCGAGGTCTGGCTCACCCTCCATGTCTGCCTGCCTTCCCGCCTGAGCGGTCAGCATCCTGCCTGTGTGGGGATCTGGGGTGTGTAGCCAGCCGCCAGG